ACTTAGTTTTGTTAAACTTGCTCCACATATTTCGAGAAAAAGGGATATTCTTTGCGAAAGTGATCCGCATTTATCGAGTGATCGAACAAATGTAAGCCAAAATAAAAATTTTCCTTTCTTTCTTGACCATGTTGGACTTGTGTAAGGAATTTAAAATTTTAAATTCTGATGTACAAATGGAACAGATAACATAATTTCAGATGCAACAACAATTTCTTAAACTCTGCGTGTTCTGATTTTTAAGTAATTTTTACCAAATATCCATCACTTTTTTTACGAGTTTCTTTCAAGAACATTTTAAATTGGGCTAAACTTCTGATTATTGATTCGCTCGAGGCATAATGACAACAAACTAGCTTTGTGTTTCTTCAAAACGGAAGAAAATTGCTTACATTTCTGTTAAATGGTGGGTTTGCCAACTGTTTAAACGATTTGATTTAATAATTAGTATGAGGAGCACATGCGTGACCACCGAATGAGCTATGCAATAAAAAAATAACCAAAATTCTTCTGACCGACAGGCAAAAAGATGTTGTGGCCTGACTAATATAAAATCTACAAAAGGTGAACAAAAATATAAACGTTTTTCAGTTTTGGCCTTTGTTATATACTTCGTGGACTCATTTTGGACATCTTTTTGGAGTTTTGGTCAATTTGAAACTTATCTTTTTATTGCAAGTACTACAATATATTAACAATTATGAAGTGTTTGTTGTTTATAGGCGTTTTAAGTAGTTGTAAATAATAAAATGTTCTTTACTTTCTTTGTATAATTATTTCCTCTATAAATATTGCCGACGTTTTAAAGTTTATTCGACGTCTTCCTAAGGTCAGATTATTTTAATCATAATAAAAATTGTTCAGATATAATTACATTGAGTTGTTTTTTAATAGTTATTGTACGATTTCTAAATCATTTAAATTTGCTTTAAATCACATCAATAGTTACAAGTGTTTTTCAATAAAACTTGAATTGTTTACAATTTCTAAAATATTAATTTACAGTGAAAACCCAATAACTATAGCTATGCTGACAAATTTGCCAAACTAGCTTGTACACAAACATCTTTTAACGAAAATAAGTAATAAGTCACAAGGGAAGTAAAGAAAGGGATTAATTTCCTGACACTACAAATTGATTTAGTGCACTAATCAACTTACAGAAAACATAGCTTTTTCCTTCGAACTGGTAAGAGTAACTTTAGGATATTCTCAAATTTTTTCGCTGTGACGGTTTTGAAACGATATAAATTGAGTTTTTCGCGAAAAGATCTGAAAGAGCCTGAAAGCAATACAGTATCAGATAGTGCATTATCAAAAACCAAGAATGGTTTACTGCAAACATAAACCTGATTTTCGTAATAGTTTAATGGATCAATTTCTCCCATGTCGTATGCATAGATCCAAGTTTCATATGCAAATATCATGCATTTTTCAAAAATTAAGCGTCTTTCACACCGAACGAGATTTTACTCTTTTCAGTTGCAAAGTATCTTTTAAAACAGTTTGGACTAACCCAAATGTTGATATTTAAGCACTAAACTTTTGCTTTCTTTGACGTGTTGTTCGTCAAGAACAATATCAGCTTCAACGTAACATTTTTTTTGAAAAAGCCCCGATACCGAAGATCTCCAAAACAATATTTAATGAAAATTTTTTGCTCATCTCAAAATACATTGCAAAGATTGCTGAATTGACTTTTTGGTCTTCACAAAACACATTTGTATCTAATATAGTATGTTCCCATTGTCTTCATTATTTGATTTAGATCGGTAATGAAGTTGAGTAACCGTAAAAAGTGTTAATCGAACTTAATCAAGAATAAATTAAGGAAAATTATAGAAAAAAAATTTCAAATGCAAAACTGCAAAATATATTTCCTAAAACGGAAATTATAGTAATTGGACATATTTGAGACATAAAACTAATTGTAAATAAACAACTGACAACACATAAATAAATATTAGTTGTTAAGAATTAAAATAGCTCTCCTAAAATTTTCACAGAACTTTCGTATACATAAATCAACTAACACAATGTGAACGACCAAATTTTAAAGAGATTAATATAAGTTGATTTAGTTGCAGTGCAAACATAATATTATACAAATGCACATGAAATTTGACGCAATTGTTAACAACAGTACTAACAATATATAAAAAGTAGTTGCTAAAATCGAAAAGCCCACGTATTTGAAATTAGATGTATAACTTATTTTGTTTTGGAAATATATACCATGTGTTATATGAAGTATGAAGCCCAGATAGCTTATTAGTTTCTATGAACATCTTAATAAAAATAATTTTACTAATAAAGAGGTAAGCTTATTATTGGTATATCAGTAGAGCAATTAAGAGTCTAAGCACGCCGTGCCGAATTAACAAAACTGAATATATCATAATTATACAAATAATTTGCTGGTTTTTTTTACATATTAACAAAGGTAATTATCTTATTACTAATTAGTTAACCCAAGTATTTACAAATGATGCTGTAAACTTAAATATTTGACATCGATGCAATGCTTTTGTTGCAAATCATACCGATTTTATTACACTATATCGCATATTGTCTTAATTTATTTCCCTCGGGCTTTATATATAATAGGTAAATATAAAACAAATTACCATTATCTTCTATCTAAATAGAATATATCGTTATCAGTTGCATATATGAATACATTTATAATGATAACTTAAATTCTACAAACTACTAGAATTTGAAATGTATTCAATGAATAACTTCGTATGTTTTAACTCCCAAAGCGAGTGAGTTGCACAAATAAAAAACATATATCTACACTTAAAACGATTGCCATATTTGGCAGTATATCAAACGACAATGCAATTGTCACCACATTGAAAAGACGTCAAAGATGTTAAAAACTCTGCAAATAAATTTTACTCAGAAATGCATGAATTTAAAGTAGTTGCAGCAACAATTGTTCATGTAAAAATGCGGCATGAAATGGAAAACTTTTTGTCAAGTAAAAGCTTAGCAAATTCATTTTTTTGTATCGAGAACTGACCAAGCGCACAAAATGCAAAGATAAAATTTTCAACAATTGCCATAACTTTTTTGCAGAAGTCCACACTTGTTATGAAAGATTTTCAATCCGACATATTTTTTACTATTGCCACGATTTCATTGGATTGCATAAATACGTTTCTCAAAATAAGAGTAAAAAATATGTATTGTATATGCAAGTGCATTGTGAAACCAACCAGGAACATGCTACCTTACAACCTTACAGCATTGCGCCATACGGCATAGCAAAAACCTGGCATCCATTCCATTGCTTAGGAACGGTGCTAATAAATCAATGAAATTCATGAAATGAAATCGATTTCCGTTTCAATTTTTTCAACTGCTGCTGCAAGTCCTAGAATGTCATCTTCGTTATTGTATTTTTTTGCTGAAATTCTAGCATTAAATTAACAGATTTAATTTGTTGAAGCGTTGTTTTATTTTTTTTTTTTTTTTCAAATTTAATTAAAATACTATCAACTGGCTGCTATTTTATTCTTAATATTTTTCTTGTTCTACTTTTTTTATATATGGATTGTTTGTGAAAAAAGGAACATAAATGATGAAGGTAACTCCTTAGTCCTTAGTTCTTTTTTTATTTTTGTATTTGAATTACTTCTGCTAAGAATCACATAAATGATGGAGGTAATTCCTTATTTCAAAGAAAATGATATTAATTGTGAGTGGGAGTTCAGTGTTCTGTAATTATTAATGTTCATTGGATCAAAGAAAAGTCTATACAAAATTAAGCTCTTAGAGCAAATATCATTAATATCTCAGAAACTGTCACATTCTCCTTTATGCGTAATATTTGCTATCGCAATCATGTTACTTACTTCTGCATTAGTAATAATAGATGTTCACAATTATAAAAAATAATAAATAATATAAATAATAAATAAAATAAAGGTAAAAGTAAATAAATAATATATATAATAAATATAAATAATATATAATAAATAATAATAATAATAATAAGTATAAAAAAGTAATAGTTATAGTAATTATTACTAAATAAAAGTTTATAATAGTATTTATAATAGTATAGTTTGACAATAATAAAATACTTCTACTGTAATAAAAATTCCAAATAATTGAAGATATAAAAAGTACCGACGGTTTTTTATATATTTTTGAATAAAAATTTACTTTATTGAAAATTAATATTAATTCAGTTTATATGGCCCATTATTATCTATGACCTGTTGCCATTTTTCGGATAGCTTCAAAATTCTTTTGATGTAGAAGTTCTGTACTTCATCGGCGAAAAACTTGGCCAAGTAATTTGCAGCTGCTATTTCGCAAGCTAATTTTTCACCGAAACATGTTCTCTTTCTACAAAATTTCAATCACTCCTTGGAGATAACAAAAAATATGCATGCAAATGGCTATATGCTAAATAAAGCACTTCACATACCTCTTCTGACATTATGAGTTCTTATATCACATACCCAAAATGTTGTCAGTTCCCTTCAAATTATTGTGACTTTATATGCTAAAAAATTTTAAAGAAACTATGCAGAATTTAAGACAATTCCATACATTTGCATAAATTTTTGCATACAATGGAATATTGTTTTCTCTATATTTTAATTTTTTTATATTTGTTTATCTATTTTTTTTTTTAATTTATTTATATTCTTTATTATTTTATAATATTCTCTTTGGGTAACAACAAACGAATTATGCTGCTCATTATATATTCAAGGTCCTTTCAGATGTACGAATACAAAATGTACATTTGAATGCTTCATAGCCTAGCAGTCTTATTGTTCTACACTGAAACCTGCCGCTCCTACTAGTTTTCTGTGTTCATCATCTGACATAGCAAAAATATAGCAAAATAAAAAAAAAACAAATTGAATTTTCTTTAATAAAACTTGATCGACGAAAAACACAAAAACCTTTTTAATATCATTTTGACTTTATAACAGGCTTATTCATATATCAAACTATTTTTTCACTCTTTACAGGCAACCATTCCATTACAATCATTTAACCTTGATTGTGGACGTCGCGATAATAGCTCCCAACCGGCCACAACTACAACAAAAACTCATATTGCTTACATGAGAACATTGTCGGCACCAACACCATATCAACAACAATTACAACAACAACAACATCAGCAACAACTTAACGATATGAAGTCCAGTAACAGCATGACCAGCGGCAAATATAATCGCAACAGTTTAGCAACATTTAACATGGCAACAGAGCATAATCAGCAACAACAGCAGCATCCGCACCAACAACAACAGCAACAACATAATTTGACAAATTTCCAAAGTAATGATACCGCCACAAATGCACCAGCAATGAAATCAACAACAATATTAAAAATTGAAGAGACAGCAGCAGCAACAAACGAACGACAGCAAAAGCAGCAGCAGCAACAGCAGCAACAGCAACAGGCACTATTAAAAGCGGCTAATATTGCTACTATAGGCTGTACAGTGGTTGCACATGAACATGATGAGAATTTACTTAAATCCATGAGACAACGTCATTTGGAAAACGATATGGAAACAATACGTAACGCATTGCTAAAACAAAATCAGCAATTGGCTGCTATGGAAACGAACGTAAACAACAACAGTAGCCGTAATAGCGATAAAAACATGTTGGTGGCATCCGGCACGGCGACATCAATACCAAAACGGGAGCGCATTAATCATGCAGCTACAACACCAATAGCAAAAACTCCAATAACAACAGCAGTAACAGGTAACTATATTTCACCGACAAATACTTTATTAAGCTCATCCACTAAATCAACAACACTTAATGCATCGCCAGTAACAACAACAACAACACCAACAAATTATTTATTAAACGGCAGTGATGCGACCAAAAAAGGATCAACCTCAACAATCTGGACATCAGAGGAATCAATACTTAGGAGCGTTGGCGCCGTCGATGAAGACAACAAGTAAGTAAAACTTATGGAGAATAAATTGAAATATAAGGAAAATCATCTAGTAAAAGGATTAAAAATAAAAACACCTGAATGGGTTAGGCATGTGGCGGATAAAATCTTAATTAGTAATCGAGTCACTAGAGCGAAAGGAATTTTTAAATAAATTAGTTTCATTTTTTTTTTCTTTTTAATTATTTATTCTTATATTTTACGTGGATAGTTATTAGCTTCGAAAAAAATATATCTAAAGACTTTTGTTAAGTTCAATACGCTATTCACTAAACATAAAAGTGATTACTTAATTCAGTTCTTGAAAAACACTCTGGGAATCTAATGTACTTGAAATTGTTCTAATGTCCTTTACAATTTAAGGAAATAAAATCTAATGATGTCTAAGCCAATACCAAAACCAATCGGATACTACGACGTATCCGACTGATATTCAATTTGAATTAATATTATTCTTTTTATTTTTAAAAATTTGACTATTCGTAACTAAGAAAGTTTTGGGGTTCATGTAGGCCTGAAGACGTTTGCAATAAAACACGATAATTCACCTTAGCTCTTCTACTACCCCTCTTATACCATCTAAATGGTAAACCTCTTTAATTTTATTAAGTTTACCGTGTCAAGCTCTACCAATTCCTCAAAGTTAAAGCCTCGTAGAGTATCTACGCTTAGTCTCAGAGAATGCTACTTTAGGTAACATAACTCCATTTCTGTTCAATCAAATGTAATTAAGAAATATTAACAAAACGTTATACAAGCATGTACCTTACCGGCCTACTGAATTATGATTAGGTGGGCTTATCAAAAATATTTTAGTAGTCAGATTGCGATTTTTCCTTATCAAATATGGAAGAGTATTAATCGTTTGTAGCATAATCTAGGACAGAGTTTTAGCTGATCTCTTCTAACAGCCAATCAGTTATTAAATTTTCAATCCATTTTTTTTCATTATTACATCACCGGGTTCTCGTAGTATTACTCTTTTACTTCACATACGTGGCAGCAGAACAGAATACTTGGTTTGTCCACTTCAAATTTTAATCAAGTTTGATCTTATGTTCGAATATGAATGTATTTCGATGAGGTGAAAATTATACTCGTATTCTTCTTTTATTAAAATACGAGTGTTTATCTTTTTAGTCATAAATTATATATGTAGTGATACCAAGCATCACTACCTCTAACATTCAGTGTTCTGACATACTTTTTTTTACAGTTGCATATATTTCAATTATGGATATATATTCTCAATATAGCTTTCCAAATTTCATCAACTTTTAGTATTAAACTCTAGCGAAATATATTTTATATTTTTCAAATACACCGACTGTAGCTCATTAATAATTGTTTACTTTGTCTTAATTATTTTCATATATATTTTTGTTCTCTATTTGACTAATCTATTTTAATTATTTCAGCTCGACTTCATCGTCGGCTTGCGAAGAAGCGTCTGGTGTTTTAAGCTCTGGTAAATCGGGCATATCACTTGATTCATCCGGTCTGGACAACGATAATAATGAAAGTGGCATAGGTACAGCGACACCACCAAAGGACTTATGCTATTGGAAGGGTTCACATAATGATAATGAATCTGTTAGTAGCTTGGATGCGCTACGAAAAATGAAATTTCAAAAAAGCAATTCAGTGGCATCCTCAGATGATCCAGATGCACTTGAAGTGCTGAGCTTATGTGATGATGAGCCTCATGGCGATGAAGATGTTGATGAAACACATTCAGCCGCCTATGAAATAGCGCAGCATCAGCAAGAACAGCAACACACACAACTTGAAAAACAGCAAAAACGTCAGTCGCGTCACCGTCACTGCAGATTACGTGACAATGTTGACAGCAATGAAGCTGATACTGTAGCTAACGCTATTGATGCAGAAGATGATCTAGTTGATGCTGAAGTTGAAGATGTTGTAGATGCTGATGAAGATGAAGAGGGTCAAGATGAATTTGAAACAGTACCCTACTGTGATTGTGATTGTACCGATGGTGATTTGAGCAGTGCTAGTGGCAGTGGTACAAGTGGCAATCAAACAATGCCAAATGATACAAGCGCTGTTGTTTTGAGACGTAAATATAAGAATGCAACGCCTATAATGGTACCAATCGGTGGACGTACACAAAAATGCCGCAGTCACTCATTGGATACATCATCGTTACCCACATCCTATCAACACTCCTATCATCATTACCAGCATATGCCGTTGGCACGTCTTAAAGAACGCATCCGAGAACGTACCAAAGAGCGGGGTCAACTATCTCTGGCATTGCGGCAAGAACCTTTTCAATCGTTACTAACGCCAACGCACTTTCATGAATTGCCTTCACCCAGCAGCGCATCACTGCACAGCGGTCATGAAAGTCTGGGCATACAGGAACTGACAACAAAATCCAATTCGGCGCCATTGTTGTTGAAACAAGAGAAGAAACGTGATGATTTTGCTGGTCAAAAGCTGGTAAGTTGAAAATAAGCTCAATTATATTTTGATTATGTAAAATTAATGGAGTTTTATATTTTCTTTTCTCATCTTTTTATTTCAACATTCAACTTTGTGGCGGGTGCACTGGTAGACGTTAAGATATTCACGTTCACAGAGCGATCGCTATTTAGCAGGTGAGTGAAACTATAATTAAATGCAAAATAGTTTATTTAAATTAGGCTGGCCAAGATGTTGGTGGTCTCTAGCTTCATAAGCATAGAAACACCCATAAATATGATTTATTGAGCCAAAAAGACTAGAATAAATTGTAAAATTAAAGTGGTGGAAAAAATTAAATCATATTGCTTAGTTTGCATATTATTACACCGTGGACCGAAGATCAAAGACCAAACAAAAGCAAGAATGCTAATTTTAATTCAAAGCCGCAGGATTTAAACTGATCAGTTCATTATAGTGGGTGTGTTTGTAGGTTTTGATCGCCACTTAATTGTAGTTTTTTGCAAATTTCTGACCTTAATATAAAATCGTTTTCTTCTTATTGTTTCTTTATAAAATTATTGAAAATTCTTGAACTTCAGAAAGGGTTTATAGTATTGGATATTATTGAATAAAATAGAATAAGTACTTACAAAACTTACTTCAAAAATAAATAAATGAAGTTTTCCCTGAATCAATAATTAAATAATCAAAGTTTCTTAATTATAATAAATTGATTATGAAAAATGTGTAGCCGTATAAATTGTATTAAATAATGACTAAATAGTATTCTACATACATATATAAATATACAGAATATAAGTAATTCGTCACTATGATTAGGAATTATAAAAAATAAATATTTGAAAATATATATTTTTAATAATTCCAATATTAAATTATTTTATCAGTTTATTGATAACGCAGATTCCTGTCCTGCAATAACATATGTATTAAAACATATGTATATATATTTACTAACTTTTCCTTCAATTTATTATTATACTCAAAGTATTGTATTAAATTAATATGGTTATTCGTTCACAATTTTAGGCTTTTATAATTAGTTTATAATTAATTAATTAAAAAATTTTTTTGAACATGAAAAACTCTACTTTCATATGTGTTAAATTTTATATATTTCTGTACATACTTTTCTAAAAACCGATTAGCCTTAATGTCCTTTAATTACTTTCGTTTTTAGTGTTATCTATTAGTTGGAAATATATTATAAATTTTCTTAATTTTGAGCAAAACCTATTAGTCAACAATTTCAAAATAGATTGAAATTTTAATTATTTAGATCTAAGCAAATTATAATAATATTAAATTTCACAGAACAAAATATTGTGGGACCATTTATAATAAACTTGAAAACTTCTTGAATAACCGATTCCAAAAATCTACGAAGTTTTTATCTTTTGAATCGGATTTTAAAGACATTGTTTAAATTAATATTTATAAAATACATTCTCAATAACTAATTTATAATAGTTTTATAGTCTACCTTTTATCTATTAGGCACACATTTTTAAATAAGGTATCAAGAAAATAACATAACATACTTATGTTATATATTCATATTAATAACTTATTCTTCCTGTTATCTAAAATGAAGAAGATTGAAAAAGACTAATTATGCTCTCAGAGGTGAAATAAATTCGTCCAGTACCGTGTTTAAAAGATGAGTCTTCGGCACTTATATTTAGATTATTAATCCGATTTTGATGACCTGTTTTAAAAAGAACTGTTAAAGACTGGCATCTAGTTAAAGCTGACTTTGAAGAGCGTTCTTAACTTCAACTTGCATGAATCAGTCAATCACAAGTCATTTCATGAAAATCTTTAAAATTCCGTATTATTTCTGAATAATCATATATCATAAAAGAGAAATTTTTGGATTTAAAAACTTTTTTATTACTCTCCCCTTTTGTATTCGCAGATAAATATTATGTCACAGACCATACAATTTTTGATTAATAAAACATATTGACTGAAATATTCTTATTTGGCAATGATAGAAATTTTCTAAAATTATTAAAATTGACTGCACTTTTTAATTGTTTATTTTTACTTCAGAGTAAATTGCATCAAAAAACTTAACGATTCTTTCTTTCATTTAAATTAAAAAACATAAATATTTAATTTGGCTTTAGAATTACTCATTTTCTCTCTTTTTATTTGAAAAATTGTAATAATGATATCTAAAAATAAAAAAAAAATTTAAACTTAATTGAAATAATTAAACTAAATTAAATATTTTTTTTTCTTTTAAAAATAAAGAAGTACGTAAGTGCGTAGAATCGTGAAGTAGCATTAGAGTGACTTTCTCAGTATTACGTTCCTAGATCAGGTTCTATACATAAGAAAGAATATGTAAATCATATCACAGAATAGTATTGATTTTGATTTAAAATAAAATTATAATTAATTAATTAAATTATTCTACAGCTGGTTTATTATTTCGTTCTTATATAAACACAGCAAGTGAATTTGTTAATAAAACTTTCACAGCAAATTAACAAAACTCCAGAACAATGTGCGAACATAAAAGTCAAGTACGGGTTTAGGTCAGTTGGTTAAGAAGCGCTGACTCTGAACATCCTGGAATTTGCAGATTCAAAAAAAATTCGAATAATTCGAATAATTAAATACAAGAATTATTTTCAAGACCACTGATGATGGATATTTGGCAATACTCGAAATAACTGTACGGTTAGCAAAAAAATTCATTTACATAAAATAATATAAAATAATATAAATAATATAAAATTAAAATCAAATTAATAAAAAAAACTAAAAGATTAAAAAAGGTTTCCAATCGTACTTAAGTGAAATTAGAATTAAAATTAATTAAAGTAATTAAAATAAATCAAATCAATTGTATGCAGTCATTATTAGAAAAAAATAGTACTCAATCAGATATGAGCAATCGATAAAAGAAAAACATTTCGTTAGTATTGTCATTTGTCTTATTTACTTCGGATTGCGTATGTCTCACTTTAGTTTCTTCCGTCAACACTTGAAACCAATGAAATAACCCAAAATAGATGCCAATCTGCCAACATATCATGAAGTTTGCAAATAAAACACCAATTCAACTGCCAAAAAAGACACTTACTTTGCTATTTCTACATACTTTACGAAATTTAACACCGAGTTCAGTGCCTGATGAACACAATTCCAAGGCACTTTTGCTCAATTACTGAATTTAGTTGCTGTGACTGAGCCAGCTCCATGGCTAAGGACTAAAACTTGTTATGTGAAAACTACACAAAAAAAATTAAAAATAATAATAATAAAAGCCAAACGTTGATGACAGTGCAGCCAACAACAATAAGCAAACAACACTACCAACATGTATGTAAGAGCAAAAGCACAACAAACATTAATGACGTCAGCACTTGTTGTATAAGCGCAGTTAAGGCAATTTTTATGTGCTTAAGTGAAACGAAGCAATCACTCAAGGGTCAACATGAAATTTGTAGAACGCCACTTCCCGAAATTCATTAGAGTTTCAGGTTTACTAAAATAGCTTCTGGTATTTTTAGTTTCAGCGGCAAGCGAATAACGTTTCAGCAGCTTCAACAGCTTCAAAAGGGCAAAAGACCTCTCCGACTAAAACGTTATTAACGTTCGCAATATTTTTCTTTTAATGTTTTATTTTTTCTTCTACTCTTTTTGTTTTGTTGTTTTCATCTTTTTGTTTGTTGATCATTGTTCTATATATTTTCATTTATTATTTGCTTTGACAATTTACACGAACTAGAATATTACATACTCGTGCTCGTGTGCTGTTGACTTCAGATGTGAAATGCCAAAAGTTGGTACAGATTTTCAAGAAATTCATCTTTTCAGAATTGTTTTGTTATTTTTATTAAAACAAAGCAAACACACATAAATCGCGGCTAACGTCATAAATAAGATGAAAACATTGCCAGACCAGCGGACGACAATTGCACAGACAAGCAAACACATAAATCTGACAATAAAATTTTTCTTTACACCGCACAGGCGCATCATTTCGCAGCAAACGGAAGCACAAGCCATACACTGAACATTGACAAATGTCTTTCTTTTTTTTAACTGTGTTTATTAGTTAGAGAAAAAAGTTTTTAACAAATTATTGCAAATAATAAATAAAATTTCAAGAATATTTACTCACGCAATATTCACGGTCAATGTGATTAATGTGCGGCAAATAAAAATCTACGTTTACACGCTTAGAAATGTTCATAAGCACCATCACGTTCATTAACGTTGTGAACATTTTCATATAAAAATATTAATGAGATTTATTGCACTATTTCTTGGTATGTAGTATATTAGTGCGCTACTGTCAGTAACATATGTATTTCTTAACTACTCTACCTACAACTCTACGCTCACTCTTACTAATTCTTACAGTTAGGAAAGCTACGAATGTTCAACATATGAAATTAAAATTTCATACAACTTAACATCCTTTTCTTCCTCTTTCATCCTCTACTTTTTTTTGCGGTAGGTGAAAAACATTGAAAATCACAAAATGTGAGAGCTAAACCCACTACAACCATCTCTTAGGAATATATATGTATGAAAGATTAAAACCGCAGAACTTGAAGGTTCAGCGGTTCAATCCCCATTTTAATAATGAAAAACGGAATAGAGATCCTATAAGCTTGGTATTTAGTTAACTGAATTTATCGAAACCAGAAAAGCGTGGTCAAAATGATTTAGGGGAGGTAGTGTTTATAGATGATAACAATCTCTGCCTGTATTTCGCTTTGAAAAATATTTATACAGACATGTTTTAAAAAAAATTTCTGCTATCTAATTTTATTCATTTTCTTAGTGCAGTTCGCAAGCACTTTCAAGCACTTTTTTTTTATTTTCACATACCTATTCTCTTGCTTTAGTGTATTTATCTGGCACCTTTTAAGTAAGCAGTTGTTTTAGTTTGTTCTGGACTTTGTTCACAAAGCTTTAAAGGGCTTTGTTTAATCAATAGTGAGTTTTGTATAATAGGACACTTCTGGTCGCAGTACCAGCTGTTGGGCGACTGACGTCGTTTATTAATAATAGTTTGTTGTTGTATTCTATTCAACACTACGATGTTTCATTTGAAGTTTTATAGCAAGCAAATTGAGGTAAGAAAACGCAAACTTAACGTAAAAGAGTTTGTGCGATTTCCACTGCCATCGCTGTAAGGTTTTCG